TCGCAGCGGAGGCCGGGCCACCGCCACTTGCCGTCGGCTTGCGACACGAAGGAAAGTAAACGCTAAACCGCAGCGGGAGCGGAGATGTCGGGCAGGGCAAGCGCCGCTCCGGGGCAGAGCTTGTGCGTTAGACGGACCTGCAGCTTGGTCAGCATCCCAGGGCTCTCTGACGGCGGGCCCGGAATGACCTCAGGCTCATCCTCCACCTCCTCAAATCGTGGTATGCGCCGCTTCTTGACGCCGGAGGATTCCTTGGATACCTCAGAGTCATCCCCAAACACATCCTAACGTAAAAAGGAGAGAAGGAGAAAGCTGTGGTTAAAAACAACGAGTTCTCCTCACGGCCACTGCTGTAAGATGAAAGAACGCCACGCGGGTCAGATCCGGTCAGCACGGCATTGTGGGTCAGAGTTTCCAGGGCGGCACTCGCAGGCGGATCTACCGGTATTCCCGCGTGAAGCCGCTGCCCTGGCCCCCACCAGAGAAGCATCGATGATGATCCATGCAAGAGCTTGAAGGACAGGAGACATCACAGGGACGTGCCCGTGTAACAGCCACCATCGTTCGCTCAGGTGGTCAAAGGATTTTTGGCACTGAGGAGGTTTAAGGTCTCGCTCCGCTACCCGGAGAGATGGAAAAAGCCTGCCCACAGCCTGCCCTGACTGGGCTAAAACGGTTTCCACATCTTCCACCAACCTGAAAGGGTCTGGGGAAGGAAGCTGAGCTGTCCTAACACGTCCTCCCCAAGAGGAGGATGTCCCTGACCCCGGGACAGGCTGCGGCATTCCCTCACGCTCCGACCCAGCCGACTCCAGCTCGGATCCAAAGACGCCGCGCTCAAACTGAGCCGCTCTGGTGAAGCGCAGCTGGGAGAGCAGGTCGGAGCGACGAGCACGCTGACGGACTCGCATGCAGCACGAGGGTCCCCGCGCTCGGGGGGGAGCCGGGAGAGCGCGCCGTTCCGGCACACCCCAGCTCGTGAGACTGCGGCCGCAGATTTCACCTCGTCAGTGCCAGGTTCGTGGAGGGTAAACCGGGTTTGTCCACGCGACCGTGTTACTGTCGTGTGTGCGTCAAGGTGTTATTTGAAAAGAAAATATACACACCGGTTGTAAGCGTTAGGTGCAATCCCTTCTTCACTATAACGGTTCATATTCTACAAGGACACTTCCTCATCCAGACACAGGTACTTCTTGGAAAACCTACAAGTTCAAGAGAAAGGACTTGCCCATAGTATAAAGTGTGTAAACCATCATGTTTTAGTTCCTGAAACTTCCCAAGCAACGACCTACCCCACAAGAGTTAACCAGGGAGAGAGACGGGCCAGCCGGTGCGCCGAAGGCTGCTAACGCGACCAGGCCGCAGCACTCCGAATTAATCCGCTGCTCGTCCCTGCGAGATCTAAGTGTGCACGTACATATCCAACCCTAAATTCTGTCCTGGGGCAGGGGGCTTCGGGTGATCTGACAACCTCATGACACCATCTCCTGTTACAGCAGCCTCAGGCCAGATCTGGATCTCGATGGAGGACCTCCAAGAAGCTGCAAAGACCTCCAAGAACGGCAATTCCAGGCAGAGGGACATCTGTCTCCGTGCCAGCAGTCAAGAGAAGAGTGCTCTGCTTGCCACCTCCCAGCCCTGCTTCCAGCTCAGCCGGGATCTGGGAACGCCCCTAACCACCCGTGCTCATGCCAGACCCCAGCGGACGCTGCACGGGAGAAGAATCACCTGCTCCACACCCAGCCCCGTCCCTGCTCCGCTCTGCCAGCGCGACACGGGCTGCTGCTCCCTCCCTGCCCCCGAAGGTGGGCACAATCCGAACTCAACCGGCCAAGAAAGGCGGGATCCGCATGCGTTAGCTGTCAGAGTCACCCCGCCGGGCTGCAGCCCGGCCACCGCGAAGCACCGATGGGATCAACGACCTCCCTGTCGTCTCCCCAAGAGATGAAGAACAAGAGGGGCGCGAGGATCTACCAGCCCAGCGCCCAGACTCACGCAGAACCGCAGCACCGAAGCGCTTGAAAGGCTCGTGACCGAGAAAGCTGCGGGAGACGGGGGGGGCGAAGGTACCGCCGCTCGCAGGGGGCTGGGGGCACGGAGCCCAGGCCTCTCCGGAGCAGGAAACGGGGTCGCACCACTGCTCCTCAGGCTGTGGCAGCACAGAAGCTGTTCCAACGCCGCGTTCCCTAACAGGCCAACGTAGCCGGACGTGAGGCAAACCCTTCTCTGGCACCAGTTAAAGCCTCAGCCGGGGGGAGAAAAAGCCAGTTTCTAAGAGCAAATAGGGACTGGAGGCAGCTGTCTCCCAGCACACCGGGGCTGACCCAAATCCTGACCGGGACTGTTCTAGCCGACCGGGGGTAACTCGGAGAAGCACAGATTGCCACGAACCAGGAACCCCAGGGAAAGCGGAAGGAAACTTAATGTGCAGGTAGGGAGCAGCATGGAGAGCAGCCCCTTTTAAAGTGGGAAAAACACAGTTCCAGAAGACGGCGAGCGAAGTCTTCAAGAGAAGAAAGGAAGTGAAAACAGGTTGGGATGCACGAGACTTATCCCAGACACGCGTTAGACGGGAGAAACACCAGAGAGCCGCCCAATCCCTGCTGGGATCGACCTTATGCTACGACAGGAGTTGTCAAAAACCCCCCTCTGTTGATTCCAGGTGGGAAAAAAACAGGAAGAGGATGAAAAGCCACCAGCTCACCCACCGTGGAGCCCCACGCACCCGCTGGTCTGGGCAAGGAAGAGCAACAGGAAGTTGCTGGGAGCACCTACCCCAGGCTCCCGTGAAAACACGGCACGGTAAGGAGAAGAAAACAGAGCCGGAGCCCTGCAAGATCCTTAAAGAAATCAAAGCCCAAGCTTCCAGCCTGGCTGCCACCACGGAGGGTGCAGTGCTACCTCATC